CCATGCTTGATACGTAACTCTTTCCAAATGCTTTTAGAAGAAGAAAGTCCTAAATTAAGAATTGGAATGACCCCATATCTTAATTTCAAAAGCCTGTTAAAACAGTAGCTATAAGAGGGTTTATTCAACATCGGTAAGAATTCTTTGGATTTAATCATGATACTTAAAAAATATATATTTTGTGCATTAATTAATATCATATACACGAAAGGCCAAATAAGTAAATAAAGATAATAGTTTTAATGTTTATTATTAAATAATTATAAATCTTTTAAATATATATTACACTGTCATAAGTCAAGATTAATAAAAAAAAACAGGTTGAATGGGCAATTTGAAAACCGGAAACCAATTCTTGATGGGCTAGACCGGCAGGCTGTTCCACTAAATTTTTGTTTAATTTATTTGGAGCAAGTCAGCTGCTTCTTCAGCCCTTTTCTCTCTTGTTATCATTGATCTTTCATTCTTGTAAACAGAGGCGATACATTAGCCACTCTGTTTCTCCTGCTTGTTTTCGAACTCTTTGTGGTCTCATGGGAATGGGTCGGGTTGATCGATCAAATCCGAGTTTAAAATTGACTTCATTCGATTGAATTTTTTAATATAAAACTCGAATCTAACTTGATCTGAAATAAATAAATATTACTTTATTTAATAAAAATAAATATTTTATTAAAAAAATATATAAAAAATAATTGTTACAATTATTTTTAAATATATAAGATAAATTTAAATTATTTTTTAATTAAATCAGATCAGATATTTTTACCCTAAATTTAAATATAACACAAATCCGATCTATTTTTTTTTAAACCGATTAATCGAATCATATCACTTCAGGTTGTAACTTGTAGAATTCGGGTTCTGTTCAATCACTGGGTCTCTTCCGTTGTTAAAGCAAAGGCGGCAAAAGCAGTAGAGAGAAGTACGGCAAAGCAAAGCGAAATATCCAGCTGGGATGCACCACCCAACACGCTGGCAGTTTCGCCACGTCGTATGAATGTGACCTCTCGTTACCTGCCACGTGGGTTTCTTATCTTTCTGCGGGCTTTTCAGATGTGCCCCCTCACACCTCTTTAACCTCGGTTTCAGCCTCGCTTGCAATTGCACCCTTAATTAAAATCCCATGTTAAAAGGTATAATACCAAAATTAGTCCCTAACATTTATTAAAATAATCATTTTCGCTCATATTCTTTCTTTGAGTATTTTGGCTCCCATGTTTCATTTTAAGTTAAAAAGGCCCTTGATATTTGATAGAACATTCATTTTGAACCTTATTCATTTTTTAGTAAAACACCACTATTCGGAAGTGTTAATCAGGTGTTAATAAGGATTTCCATCTATATAGGAGTTTTTTTGCCCCAAAATAAAACATTGAGGCCAAAAACTCATAAAATAATAGGGACAAAATAAATATTTTAGTAAATGTTGGAGGCTACTTTTAGTGTTATGCTAATGCTATAAACAAAGGTTTAATGGTACCTTAAGTCATTAAACTTTTGGAATAAATTTAATGAAATCATTAAATTTATTTTGTATCTATTATGACATTTAAATTAAGAAAAAAATCTATTTGATCCTTTGACTAATAGGAATTAAAATTGATTGTTATATGGATGATATATTGATTTAGTTCTCATATGATAGTTCACAATACTAATATAATAGTCTACCATGAATGATGACGTGATACAAAAAAATGGTTGTCCCTATTTTTTCCTATATGTATGGGATAAGAGGGAGATAACATAGTATGTTACCCCCAACACCAGGTTGAGAGCAGCTTCCGTAGGAGACCTCCAAATTATGAAATGTCCTCCGTAAGACTCGATCCCACGACCTCAAGATTAAGAACCTTGTGTTCTACCAACTGAGCTGGATAGTCATTTCGATGACGTGATCCAAAAGCATAATTAAATTTTCTTAAAGATTCAACAACTTAATTATTTTTTATATATAGTTTAAATATTTATTTATTTTTTAATAAAAATTTAAAATTAAGATATCATTTAAATTTAAATTTAAAATTATTAAAAAAATAAATATAAAAATATTTAAAAAATAATTACTAAAAATATAAAATTTAGGAAAATAAAATATAAAAATATCATAGATTATAAAACAACAAATTTAAAAGTATTAAAAAATATTTAAACTTTTTTTTTAAAAAACTTTGAACACTTTTATTAGAAGATCTTCGATTATCACTCATCAATCTAAATATACTATTATCTTTTTAACATGTTTTCAATAAAAATATTATATTAATATTACATTAGGAAAACAACTTAGTATTAGCTTCCCCTCCTAACAATTTCATTTGTAGGCCCTTTTAGAAAAATGTACTCAACTCATCTCATTAATTGTATCCATTACTGATTTTTTAAAAGTAAAAAAAAAACTTTTGATCATAATTATTTTAAATAATTTAATTTTATAAAATATATATTTAAAAACTATTTAATTTTATTTTTTAAAATATATATTTTTATATTTTTATCAATAATAAATTTTTAAAAATAATAAATCAAAATTTGAAAAATTGGAAAAAAAAAACAATAATAGATAAATTTAATGTGACAAAAAATATAAATTTTTGCGTTGATTGTAACACAAAATCCATTAATTTTAGGTTAAGAAGGGATAAACGGTTATATATAGGTGTGGATGATTATGACTTGATAGTGAAGTGAATAGCAATACTTGAAATCTCAGTCATGATTGACTTGAAAGTGGAAGTAACTTAGCTTAGCTTACAAGAGAAAAGATAAAATACTCTGCACTATATTATTTCGTTTTTTTAAAATAAAATTTGTTATTTTTATTTGAAGATAAAATATTCAAAATTATAATAAATATTTACGATCATAAATTAAACTAACAATATAATTAGGATATTTTTAACAAAAAAATAGAAAAAATAGATAAAATAACATGCTAGTATTAAAATATCCAAAAAGTATATTTTTAAAAATGCTTTTCATGAATATGTATATAATGATTTTGAATTTAACTTATTCAATTTAAAACAGAACTTGATTCTTTTAACTTTTGAGTTTGGTATTTAAGGTTTTTTAAATTATTAGTTTAAATGAATACCTCCTCAAAATTTAGTGACCACTAATTTAGTTTAACCTATTTTTTTTATTGCCATGATACATATTCTTCATAACTTGATCTTTTTATTATTATTTTTTTGTGAACAAAAAGATTAAAAATACAGAGGATTAAGCTTCTACTGTCAACGTGTAATCTTCAGCTTCCCGTTGGACAATATCAATGACTTCCCGTGGTGGGGTGGAAAAAACAATATGAACTTCTCCTCTAGTCGCGACAATCTTCGCTAGTCTATCCGCCACCTTATTTGCATTCTTGCTTATGTGCTTTAAATCAACATTCCAATTCATGTTAATCAACTCATTTACGCAGTCAATAAGAGTGAAAATCGATCCTCTCTTTAACTTGATCTTTTTATTGATCTTGAAGGAAATAGATATGTGTATAAAATAGGTTGATAGGATAATGTTTTATTGAGTACTTTGACTATTAAAAGTTACAAAATGATCTCTCAGCTATATGGAGTTGCTTTGTCGAGCCCCTCGACTATTAAAATTTACAAAATGATCACTCGACTATTTATTATGTTCCAAACTCGACTTTTTCCGTTAAAATTTTAGTAATCGTTTGAGGTGGACGTTAACATGTTGATTGATAAATGATAGCCATTTGAGATTATGAGATAATAGTTTATCATGTCACAGCCAGCAAGTTCACGTACAACTCATATTGATGTCAAATTTTTAATGAAAAATGACGGGTTTAGAACATAATTAATAATCGGGTGACCATTTTATAACTTTTAATAACCAGAAGACTCAATAAAACATTATCTTATAGTGGAGGGACCATTAATTTATTAAAGTAGGCTATCATCTTCAACGGCTGTGAATGAACGAAAACTAGACATGCAAGAATGTTAAGTTCATGATCGATGGAGCAATAAGCTCGTATCATTTAAGAGTTTCAGTTTGGTATTATTAATTGGGTAGATTGCGACAATCATCATCTATATTTCACTCATTGTACTTTGAATTCGTTCAATATTCTCATTGAATTTAATACATTTGTTGTTTTAATCACTCCGCCATTTTAGAAAAACGAAATTTTCACAAAAAACGACGTTGTTTTGCATATATATAATAACCAGTTTACAACGTCGTTAATGAGAAAACGACGGAGTGACAAAAAAAACCCACTTAAATTAAGTTTAATGAATAAATTGAACAGATTTAAAGTACAATGAGTGAAATAGGAAAGAAATTGAAGTTTAGTGATGAATTGTGTAATTTACTCTGATTAATTTATCGGAAAAATAAAAATATTACGACTTAATTTATTTTAGCTGTCTATATTCTATGTAAGCAACTGGTTTCATTAAATATATGCATTAATCATTTTTCTGATTTTCTTTTGAGAAAATGCGAAGTTAAGTTGAGAATTATTGTTAATTCTTAACACAATTGAACAAACCTAAGTTTATTGTTAATTAATTAATAAGCCTTAGCTGTACCTATAGTCATTATATATCCTCTTCACGCATTTGAAATTTAATAACTTTTAGTTGTTTATGTATAAATAATTGTTGTAGAAGGTGCTAAATGAAGTCAGATAATACAAGCAGCCAGCAGGTGCAATTAGTACGTATATTATATTAATTAGTTGAGTTCAAAGGAATGTCCCTAACGAACAATAATGGTTATATTATTAATTACGTAATTATGATCCATTAATTGTCCCACCCATGCCCCATGGCTGGACAAGTTAAGAAAGAGGTGGCCAGCCACTCCCAAGTCACAACTAGGATGACGATCTAATCCAAAACCGAAGGTTTCGATCCTATTGAATAGGTCAAAATTTTTTTTTAAAGAAATTTGGGTTCATATTGAATCGGGTCAAATTTTTTAAGGGTGGAGTCGGGTCAGGTGGAGTATTAGAGTGTAAAAAAACTCTAACCCAACCCAACCCAACCCAACCTAGGATAATAATGTAATTTATTTTAAAAATATTATTGTTTTGATTAAATCCTTATTTTAAATCTGATCGGATTAGAGTCGTATGAAAAATATATATTTTTCAAATAGGATGAAGGATATATAATTTTTTTTAGTCAAATCGAGTTTAAATGAAATATATATATTTTATATTGGATCGGATTGACAAAAAAATCAACCTATTGTGACAATAAATATATTTTTCTTCAATTCTTTTTGTTTTTGGACCAATAAATATTATCAATGATTAATCATTAATAGTAAAACATGTGCATATGGACCAATGAGTGTTGGCACAAGTGGTTGAGATTCAGGAATTTGAGCTTGTAAGGTCAAGTTCGAATTCCACCACCGTCACTCTTGGTGGGTAATCTGTAAAGTCCTATGTAAATCTCAATTGGATCTTAAGTATGCCCTAACCCTGGACTGAGGAGCCACCCTAACCTAAACTTTATTGACTTGACCAAAAAAAAAAAAACATGTGCATATGGAGTAGTGGGTCGACATGTTGTACACTTTATTATACAAAACCAACTGTTTCCTCATCAATCATACGTCGGGATGTTAGTATATGAATTGTGAAATAGGGGAATTATACTAAGAACAGTGATAGGATTTTAGTTTAAGTGGTAAATTATAATTAATAATAAAAAATAATAAAATTTTAAATTTTAAATAAATATTTATTCACGTATACTTTTAATAATAAAAAATTAGGGAGATAGTGGCCCTAGAACTATATGTAGTCTCTGATTATACTGACGTCAAATTGGATAAATTTAAAACAAAGAATTATCTAAAAAAATATTTTATGTTTAGACAATTGTGGAAGTTTAGTTTTTTTATAGTTAAATATTAGAAACTTAATATGTTTGTTACTGCACATATTTATTTGGGATGTATTTTATAGTATTGTTTGTACAATGCAATTATATTTTTTTCTAACATATATGTCGAAACGGTTTTTAACGGGTTCGGGGGGCGAGATTTAGAAAACCGCGTCATTTTTAATTATTCTCTTTTCAATTAAAAACAATGCAAATTTAGAAAACCTCTCGTTTCGAAAATTTGGAAATCCTTTTACGATAAAAACATATGGTTCGAGGAGTCGCCACCAATCTTTGATTAGGGTGTGATTGGGCACCCAAAAAAACGTTGTCATTTTAAATAAGAATTAATTTTGATTAAAATGACAAATTTACGGTCTACATTACCAAAATCCAAGTTCGGGAGTCGGTTACGTGCGGGGAAGGATTAGCACCCCCATAACGCCCTAAATCGGTACCTAGTCGATTAATTAATGTCTTTGCAATGAATTTCACAAGTTCGAATTTAATTTGATTAATGATCCCTTAAAACAACAAAAATGCAAATTTGAAACATTGAAAAACAACAAAACAGATTTAATTAAAATTACCAAGTCATTAGAAAGATAAAGGATATTCGATTATTTAAAAATATCGAGACCAGATCTTTAGGTAAGTTCTAACGATCTTTTCTCAAATAATTTAAATAGCCGAATATTTCTTTTTCTTTCATTCCCAAATTTTAAAGTGAAGAAATCGAATTTTTGATGTCACTGATAGGATACACTTGTAATTTAAAATCGTCAAGAACAACTTTTCTGTAAGTTAAGAAAAGCCACTCTGACGGTTTTAAATTAAAAGGGTATTACCCTTAATCCGATTATGTAATTAGGTCAAGTTGCATATAAGGACAACATGCATAAATTATACAAAGTGATGTTAATGCAAAAAATAATTAAATATACGATTAAAGTGAATGAATTCAAACATGCTCATAAAAAATAAATTACACCTACGTGCGTATGAACAACATGCTTGAAATAATATATACATGCATATATTTAAAATAAATCTAAATTAACCTAACAATCATGCATAAAATATTAAAAGGACTAAAACATAAAAAAAAATAACAACAACCTTTTTCATAACATTTTCATTTATGGGTACTGCAAACGTAATATAACCAAAATATTGTATAGGACCAAATTGAAAGCTTCTCAAATTACATATCCAATGCAAAAAACGGAAAGAAAATGGCCATAACATGATACGGGATCAAAATTAGACGCGCGTAAAATATAAAGACTAAATTAAAAATATAAAAGGCTCGATTCTAGGACTAAAAGGAATTATAAGCAAAAAACAAATGGCTCGTACAAAAAATAAACCAAACGCCAACGGATGCCCTAAACTGCTTAAACTACGTCGTTCTAGCTGAACCTTAAATAATATCTAACCTAAAGATGAAACCCTAACAACTAAACCAAACAACTAAACCAAACAAATTCCCCCCTTTCTCTGCGCCGTTTCTCAACTCTCCAAACTCTCCCCATCTTTTCTCCTTCACCGAGAAAACCCACAAAACCAACGCGCTCCCTCTCCCCGACGAACACCATCGAGAGCTTCAAAGCTCTATAACGCCTCTCGCACCACTGGTCACCGGCGAGTCAAACGGGGAACGAAACCTAAACCAAACCCCGAATCTAAAAACAAAAACTTTACCCTAAAACCCACGACCACACCAGGCCACCGTGGCCTCCGCCCTATAGCCATAAATTGGTGACATTCAGACCTCGATCTCCCTCTAAAGCGACCTAAGATCGACAACAACACAAACGAAGGAAGGTAAGAACTCACCTCACTCTTTACCTTTACTTGCTTTGAAGAGCCCTTAATACGTTTGTTGTATTGCTTCTTCTTGGGTTCCCCTGTCAACTGAGGTTCCAGCTATTCAAAGAGAAGGGCGCTCCAACGGACCCGATATGAGGTCGAAGAGAACCGAGCCACCCGGGTAAGTCCACTTCTTCCTTTTGGTTTCGTTTTGATTTAGAAATGTTCTTTTGAAAATATGTTGTTCTTGTATATTTCTTCGAATGATGAAAGTAATGCTTGATGATTTTCTGTGTTGCTGTTTTTTCAAAAAATGGATGCAAGGAAAATCGTTTTTATTTCTTTTGGAACTCTATGCTTACCCGAACAAAGGGGAGCCCCCTGTTTTTACAATGTTTTCCCAACAGAAAATTCAAGATGGCCCGCAAAAAACCCCCAGTACATTGCTTTCCAAAATAAAATTCAAAACGAAGCCCTCTATTCTCCAATCTTTTCTGAATCGAAAGGATCAGACCCCCCTCCTGTTTCCCCCCGTTGATGGTCTCCTTTTCAATTGATATCCCCCGTGATTCTACATTGATGGTCTCCTTTTCCAAACTTTTAGTTGTTTATGTATAAATAATTGTTGTAGAAGCTGCTAAATGAAGTCAGATAATACAAGCAGCCAGCAGGTGCAATTAGTACGTATATTATATTAATTAGTTGAGTTCAAAGGAATGTCCCTAACGAACAATAATGGTTTTATTATTAATTACGTAATTATGATCCATTAATTGTCCCACCCATGCCCCATGGCTGGACAAGTTAAGAAAGAGGTGGCCAGCCACTCCCAAGTCACAACTAGGATGACGATCTAATCCGAAACCGAAGGTTTCAATCCTATCTGATTTGAATAGGTCAAAAAAAATTTTAAAAGAAATTTGGGTTCATATTGGACCAGGTCAAATTTTTTAAGGGTGGAGTCGGGTCAGGTGGAGTATTAGAGTGTGAAAAAACTCTAACTCAACCTAGGATAATAATGTAATTTATTTAAAAAATATTATTGTTTTGATTAAATCCTTATTTTAAATCTGATCGGATTAGAGTCAGATGAAAAATATATATTTTTCGAATCGGATGAAGGATATATAATTTTTTGGTCAAATCGAGTTTAAATGAAATATATATATTTTAGATTGGATCGGATTGACAAAAAATTCGACCCGTTCTGACAATAAATATATTTTTCTTCAATTCTTTTAGTTTTTGGACCGATAAATATTATCAATGATTAATCATTAATAGTAAAACATGTGCATATGGGCCAATGAGTGTTGGCACAAGTGGTTGAGATTCAAGAATTTGAGCTTGTAAGGCCAAGTTCGAATCCCACCATCGTCACTCTTGGTGGGTAATCTGTAAAGTCCTATGTAAATCCCAATTGGATCTTAAGTATGCCCTAACCCTGGACTGAGGAGCCACCCTAACCTAAACTTTATTGACTTGACCAAAAAAAAACATGTGCATATGGAGTAATGGGTCGACATGTTGTACACTTTATTATACAAAACCAACTGTTTCCTCATCAATCATACGTCGGGATGTTAGTATATGAATTGTGAAATATGGGAATTATACTAAGAACATTGATAGGATTTTAGTTTAAGTGGTAAATTATAATTAATAATAAAAAATAATAAAATTTTAAATTTTAAATAAATATTTATTCACGTATACTTTTAATAATAAAAAATTAGGGAGATAGTGGCCCCTAGATCTGTATGAAGTATCTGATTATACTGACGTCAAATTGGATAAATTTAAAACAAAGAATTATCTAAAAAAATATTTTATGTTTAGACAATTGTGGAAGTTTAGTTTTTTTTATAGTTAAATATTAGAAACTTAATATGTTTGTTACTGCATATATTTATTTGGGATGTATGTTATAGTATTGTTTGTACAATGCAATTATATTTTTTCTAACTTTTATATATATATATATATATATATATATATATATATATATATATATATATATCATTATTTTTTGGGATCGTCTTAAACCAGAGTTCGAGTACCACATATGTAAGGATTGATAGCAAGAGTGTATGAACGTTCAATGTCATATAATTAAAAGACTTTGAGCATATATTATTTTATATTCACATCAAATAATGTCGATGATTGAAGGACTCAACAAAGTAGTGTCCTGTAATCAGGGACGAACGCAAGACTTTATGTTAGGGAGTGAATTTGAACTTATAAATTTTAAGGGGGTAAACTTGAAGTTATAAAATTGTAGGAGACGAAAACAAATTTTTAATAGAAAAGACATAAAAAATATAAAATATATGATAATTTTATTTTTTTAATGGGCGGACTGTCCCACCCGCCCTTGTCTAGATCCATTCTTACCTATAATCGAAAGAATATTTATATATTTTATCTATTTTTTATTAAACTGAGATAATTATAAAGTAATAATTATACTTTGTCCATTTTTAAATTGTGATAATAATTAGATATTGGGTCGAAATAAAGTGAAAGAATAGTTTACGTTTGAGTATGAAACAAATTTAATTCCAAGGTAGTAGTTTGGAAGGTTAATGCATAGGTTTCGGCTAAGAGATGATTATCCAGTTCAGTTGGTAGAGTACAATGTTTTTAATCTCGTGGTCATGTGATCAAGTTCCACGGAGGACATTTCATAATTCGGAGGTCTTATTCAGAAGCTGCTCTCATCTTGGTGTTAGGAGCAGCCTACTATCTTACCTCCCCTTACCTCATTATATATGTGAACAAGGGACGACCATTTTTTATGCATGGGTTTCGGCTGTCCATCTTCGTCATTAATGTACTCTCTAATTATTGACCAATAGGTAATGATACATTTTGATGGAATTTTTCTTGGAACATAAATTGTATAAAAGGCTGTGAGGGGATCAATCCCATGTGGTAACTGAAAAGTAAAGTTAACCCTTAGAAAACTAGTAAGCGTACACGACAATATTTGTTTTTCGGGATAGGTACGAGACTCGAATTTGATAGGTTTTGATTTGATCTTATCCGATCGAGTCATATTTTCTTTAAATTTCAAGTTTGAGTCGGGTTGGACTGAGTTTTTTTTAAAGAAAAAATGTTCGGATAGGATCGAGTTAAGGTTTAATTCAAAAAATACTCGATCGACCCGACCTGAAAAATTTATCTTATATATTTAGGAATAATTATAATAATAATCATATATATTATTATTATTTTCAATTAGATACATATTTTTATTGAATAAAAATAATATAATTTTATAAATATATTTATTCTGGATTAGGCAGGGTAAGGTTCGGGTTTTATATATAAAAAATTGGGTCGAGTTTGAATTAGGTGAAATCACCCTAAACTCGGGCTGATCAGATTTTGAATGAAGAATTTGTATTTTCAAATGAGACCATATTGATCGAAAACCAGACCCACCTCATGCTTATCCTTAATTTTTCTTGTGACAATCTAATATGACTAAAATACACTTTAAATCATTTAATTATACGTTTGATAATAAATAAAATATTCTAATGAAAATATAAATATATTATTTTATTGAAATATGATTATAAATTTTATATGTAAAAATGAAGCGATTGCCTAATTTAGTTGATATAATAATATTTTTAATTTTTAAAATTTACATATTTTATAAATCTTATCTTAATTTAAAATAATTTAATAAATTAAAATTTTATAATTTAAAAGTTGTGTCAAATTTATTGTCAAATCAAATTAATCCACCAAATCAAAGCAGCATTTGGATAGTTGTTTTATATCATAAAATTTTAACAGATTACTGTTAAATTGTTATTATAACATGAAAGTAATATAATATTTTTAGGGAAAAAAGTAATTTAGGATAAGAACAAATATTAAAATGATGAAATTAAATATGAAAAGTTAAGTTTATTCAATTATTTTAAATTATGACTCAATCAATAGAGTATATATATATTTTGGACTAAAATCATTATTACATTATATCACATCATTCTTCTATATATATCTAACGTCCAATGACGAATTTGTGACAATGTTTTAATTGATCAATTTGTTTGTAACTTTTTAATAAAACACAATATATTCGTTATAGGTTTAATAGTCACCTTTGCCCTTATAATAGACTCAATTTATTATTTTTCGCCTTTATCGTATTTTTGCATCAATTTAGCCTTCAATGTTGTCTAATTATATCATTCTATACCCTACCCCTAATTTAAAACTCTAAATCATAAACCTTATGTTAGCGTTTATGATTTATGGTTTAGAGGTTATGGGATCATAATTTAGGGTTTAAGGTTCATAATATAGGGTTTTAAATTAGGGGTAAGTATATGATGATGCAATTGAGCAATTTTGAGGACTAAATTGATTCGAAAATATGATATGGGCGAAAATGATAAATTAAGTCTACTGCAGGAGTAAAAGTTACCCCTTTACCTTTATTAAAAGACGTATAATTAAATAATTTAAAGTATATTTTATCCTTGCAATGATAAGTGAGATCTCACAATAAACTTTTTTAGAGACTATCAAACATGAAGATGTTAATGTGATTAACTAGGCATTGATGTAGAAATAAATGATTTTATTAACGGGTTGGTTTAAGTAGTAAATAGTTTAATATCACTTAAATAAGTCTCAAGTTTGAGTCGTTGTGTATGTAAACAAAAATTCGTTGAGAGAGATAAGGTGTTCCTGAAATTAAAAGGCGCACATGATTGTAGTATGTGTGGAAGGATAAGGATGAATAGGACCCTTGTCCCTCTTCCCCATCTGCATTTATGTTACTCCACTTCATTAATTCTTTTATGTTTATGAAAATCATATTAGATCGGTTAATTCGATTAATCGAATCAAAAATTCATTAATTTAATGATTTAATTGCAAAAATCAAACTTAAAAAGTTGGAGAACCGATTAATATTAATCAAACATAAAAAATGTTATGTCCAAGTAAAAATGTTGTCTAAAACTGAACCTAACTCAGGCGGAGCAGACAAAGTGGCACTATTAATGTTGGGGGAGGGCCTAAGCTAGTAGGGTCAATTCAGTTTTTGGATCATCCAAGTTGAATGCTGTCGAAAGTGGGTGAAATTGGTCCAATAGATTAGGCAAGTAAAAGAGTTGGTCTATTAAGTCATTTTCAAAATTAGTTTGAAATTACATATTTATTATAATGATTTAGATCGTCACAAAATAAAATCTAAATTAACTTAATGGATTAAATATTTTTACCGCTTAACTTATTGGATCAATTTTACCTTCTAAAGCAGCTACTGCTGGCCTACACTCAAAACTCCAAATTCATACATTAATCACATACAAAATCATTTACTGACGGGAAAAATTCAAAAATGGTTATTAAATTATCTAAAAATATTTTTTTGGTGATGAAATTTTAAAATTTATAAAATAGGTATTAAATTTTGTTACAAAATGATTATTGTGTCATTAGCTATCGTTAGTTGATGAGGTACTAACGTGATATAATAAAATTCGTGTGTATTTTTATCCTATTTAACCATTCAACTATAATTAAGAAATTATTTTGATAAAAAACTAACTCAAAAATAATATAAATTGCATTTAAAATTTATAATATAATAGAATCAATATAAAATTTAGTTTACCCTAATAAATACACCTACTTTAGGGAAAGTCAGGATGAAATTAGCTGAATAGGTCAGGTGAATAAAAAAATTAACCCATTAAATCATCTCCAAAATATTTTGAAATCTACGGCAAATGCTACAGTATAAGGAAAATTCGTCACACTCATATGACGATTTTGTTCAAATAATATTTTTATTTAAATTCGTCAGACGTAACAAATTATGAGTCATTGTAACAAATGTCAAAGATCTAAAATTAATTTTGGAGATGATCTAATGAACCAAATTTGTACCCGCCTGAACTATTAGACTAAATTAGCCGACAGTCAGTGTTGATGAAGCCCATACTGTTTGTTTTGGGTTTGAAGTGCAGCCAAAACTTTTCTATTATAGATTGGACTCATTCAATTCTCTTATGTATTCATGTTGATACTATCCTAAAGAAAAGTTTCCTCAAGTATGAAAGTTGGTATGTTCTTTAATCAAAGAGATTCTTTTTGGGGAGAGGAAGGAAAATTTTGCTTTTAATAGGTATTGAACCGACGATTTTAGGGGAGAGATGAAGACGATTTTAGGAGAGAGGAGAAGTATCAACTAAGAACTTTTAATATCGACCAGATAATGGAGTTTTTCATTTTAGTGGGAATGAAATATTACATCAGCTATTGAATTTACAAGATGTCCAAGTATTTGTCCCCCCATCTTTTAGCATTTCCAGATGGTCGAGAGCCAATACTCAGTATGAAGGAAACTCTCTGCAAGCTTGTAAATGCCACAGAATTGCAGAGTTTGCTCTTTCGATATGACAGACAAGCGGAGCAGATTGTTGACGAAAAATTATGATCGGTAGCGAGCAACAACTCTCAGCAAATTCATCCTCGGATAATGTTGGTCAGCTTCTGGAGAAAACTGACAGTGATAGATTAATCTACAATCTCCCCTTCTTCCAATTCCTCGGCAAAGAAAACTCCCCTAGTATTTGAAAGGTCTCTTCTATCTTCCGTTTCCGATTGCTTAGCAAATTCACCTTCCAAATAAAGAAAGCCATCCAGATTAATTCCAGTATCGAGTAAGCCTTGTTCAAAATCGAACTCCATGTCTTCAAGAACTCCAGAGTCCTTAGCCAGGGAGCTGGATTGCACCTTGTTCCCTGCCCCAGCTCTAGTCGACAAAGACAAAACTAAGTTACCGAATGCTTTCTCAGACTCGTTTCGAGAAGGGATTTTATGCCCATGCTTCATATGATCAAAGACCCGAGAGTCTAGAGAGTTGTCATTCTCTTTTATTTCCTCCTCCCTGAAGGTAACACCTTTTTGGATTTCATTATCAGCAATGCTAGAATCTTTTCCCTCTGTCCTATGAGTCACAGGAAGGTTCTCTCTGATAACTTCAAAATCATAGTGTTCCATAGGAAGAAATACATGGATAACGGGATACTCTAGAACGACCGTATTGGCTAATTGTTGCCGTATTGGGGCCTTTATGTTGAACTCCCGAAAAGGTGACTTCTCCTACGACAACACGAGAAAATCATCAGTAGGATGGATAGAATATTTTCAGCGGAGGAAATCGTGTAAGGCAAGCATCAATACATATAATCTATAATCCAGGATGAGTGCATTAAACATAACCCATATAACTTAGCTTAACTCCAGTTTTAACATGTAAATGTAGCAAAATCTAGCATTGCTGAATATATATATAGTTCAAAAGAAGAAAAATAATGAAACCCAGAGACCTAAATCACCTTCGGGTATTTTCGAATAAAAAACTTGAGGCAGCCTAGCCGCTCTTCACAGAACCGCCTTAGAGGATGATTCCAGGGGCTAGGTTGGAGATGGTTCTCAATTAATGAACAGAGGTTTGTATCTTCATGTACACTGGAAACAAGAGAGAAAAAAACAACAATGCATCAGTTGTCCAAGAAATGTTAAGCAGTCACCTAATCTTAACAAAGATCAAACGGCAGCTCACCCATGGTCAAACAAAACAACATCTGTTGAATGAAACCGCCATTCGATGGTCCACGAAATGCACTTCTTCCTATAGACAGAGCAAACTAGTAAGCAGGTGTTTACTTGGAAATTAAACTCCAAATTGATTTCACCATAAATTTAACCTGTGGTTAAATAGAGTTTGATTAGTTTCCCTCCTAGACATGCCAGGGGGGAGAAACAAGAGCTTAGTTCTCCGAGAAGCAGCAACAGTGCGGAGAGTTCGAAGGGGATACGGTAGCTTAAATTGATGATGAGAGCAACTAGTAGTAGTATTACATAGTTTGGACCTTATTCTTTCAGCAGCTTCAGCAACCCTCTTTGTTTCCTCCAGCATATTATAATCTACAAAGCAATTCTGGGTTTTAGCGAAGATGAACGGACTCATGGATAAACGACAGAAGAAAAAGAAGGTGAAACCTGAGAGGAGAAGATTATCGTCGAATTGAGAGAGAGGAACAAAGCAAGTGATGTTCCCTTTTCCATTGCAGCCGGTGCGCTGCTTGTGAGCTTTAACGCAAGGGAGGCTGCATGTGCGGAGGCCGCAACATGGGCACTTGTATTTTGACGCCTTCGTTTTGCATTCTTCGCAATCTCCATTTCTTGAATCCTCCATTTTCTTTCTTCCTTTCTTTACTTTACGAATAAGGAACAGAGCAAACGGACTTTTACGCATCATCACGCTTTTCTAGGGTTTTATTCATTTGGGTAAACTACTCCGATGATCTCTTCTAATACCGTTCTGTCTTATTTTGATCACTAATTTTAGAAAATTATGTTTTGGGCATTTAATTTATCGGTTCACTATATCATAGTCCTTGTATAAGTAAAAACGGCTAAATTTTAACTAAATCTCTGAATTTTAGATAGAATATTAATTTGATCATAAATTTTAATAAAATATTAATTTAATTTTTGATTTTTGATTTTTAAATATAATATTGATTTGATTCATGAAAGACTGAAAGTTGTTCGTCACTAGTTATTCTCGCCACTCATCTGATCTATAAAAAATTAGCTGCCCTATTTTCATATGTAATTAGGGGTGTGCAAATCCGGGTACTCGGAACATCTGGGTCAGTGATTTCTTGGCCCGTGTCCCGACCCGGATGTTCTGGGTACCCGAATACCCGAATTTTTTTCCTTCAAATTATTAAATAAAAAAACACACAAAAACACACAAATTATTAAACCGACACTAAAATTTCATCAGAAACAAATTGAAACAAAAACCTAACATATGCATATTGGAACAGAGTTCATACTTCATAGGAATAACCAAATTCCCAGCATTGCTAGAATCACAGTGATATCATCTAGCTTTCCACCAACTTCCAAAATCATAATCGTAAGGATTAACTGTAGCCGAACGCAAATGGGATCATTGTCAAAGGGGGGGAACTCAAAAGAAACCCCCACCTGTTAGCTTCATCCCCATGATTTTCTTCCAAAAAGGAACATCAAAACCCTGTAAAGGAATACCATCAAGATATGTTAAATTGATAACAGGAAAGCTTCAAACTTGCAAAGAATTTAAACCAGCAAAGCTCTATCTCATACCATTTAACACAAACTGGATATATTTATAAATTCAATCAAATTAAAAGAAACCCATTTGGACCCAAGCCATGAAATTTCAACAAACTCAAAGCAAAAGCCAATAGAAATTTCACCAAACTTAACCGGATACTCGGGTAATCGGGTAACCGAAAAAATTAATTTTTGTGACTCGGGCCCGACCCGGAAAGTGTCCGGCCGGGTACCCGACCTGGACGGGTATTTTTTTAAAGAAAATTACATGGTTTTTTTCGATCTGGGTCGGCGGGTCGAGTAATTTTGCACACCCCTATATGTAATGGGGTGAGGAGGTAAGGTAATAGTCAAAATTATGAATTGCCCACCTTGAAACTCGATCCCACGACCACAAGGTTAAGAGCCTTGCACTCTACCAACTGAGCTGGACGGACAATTCTCACCCGATCTATAAGGAGTCTAATATGTTGGCTGATGGCATAGTTAAACTTACCTAACTTAAAATCTTCCCTTTGGCTGTCATTTATTCCTCACGATGCCCAATTTGATTGTTTAAGTTTTACACGATGATTCCTATAGAATATCGTGAGATATGTAAAAAATAATTAAGATAAATTATGTATTTAATATTTAAATTATTATTTTTTTGATCTGATTTAGTATTTTTTATCAAAATCATATATAATGTTTAGTTTTCATTTCATTTTAGTACCCACCATTAAAAATTTAACGTATTTAGTACTTAAACGATTAGTTTTGTCCTGTTTTAGTATCTAAACTTTCAATTTTTTTCAAAATTTAACGTTAAATTTTGAACGCGAGTACTAAAATGAAACAAAAACTAAAGTTTTTAACGATAGATACTAAAATAGACAATAACTAAACTTTAGGTATAATTTTAAAAAAACTGAATCAAAACTAATAGTTTAGATATTAAACACATAATTTATCTAAATAATTAACGTAACTACTAATATAAATAAATTTGTTTAATATAAAATGGAAGACAATGATTTGCATGGAGATAAGATGAAAGAAGACAAACTATAAAAACCCAAAGGGTAAACTACACATTTAGTATTTAAATTATTTATTTTAATCCATTTTAGTACATAAATTTTTAATTTTTTTAAAAAATCATATATGATGTTTAATTTTTATTTTAGTACCACCGTTAAAAACTTAAAAACTTAACGCGTTTAACACCTAAACTATAAATTTTAGTTCATTTAAGTACTTAAACTTTTAATTTTTTTCAAAATTTTATATTAAATTTTGAACATAAGTACTAAAAATGAAACAAAAACTAAAATTTAAATATAATTTTTAAAAAATTAAAAGTTTATACATTAAAAATAATTAGAACTTATAGTTTAGGTAAGTACATTAGGATTTGAACAATGAACTTATCATTAACAGTAGCATCATCCAAACTAAAACCACATCATTCAACAAAACAAGACAATACCTTTCTTTGTAATAACCATACAAATAGCAATTAGAAACACAAAACATGTATGCATCATCAAACTTATGAATACTCAATCTTTACAACACATAAACTATATATAAACATTCCAGGTCAGAGTTTACTATCGTTAATGAGTTCATTCAAGAGTGTGGTAACAAGGAATCCCTTCTCTCGGCTAGGCTCTCTTCCCTTCTCCTCTTCTCCTCCTCCCTCTCCCTCCAAGCCTTCTCCGCCATCAACCTCTCCCTCTCGAGCTTCTCCATCGATTGCCGCCATTCTTGCTCGAACAACTTCCTCTTACGGGCACGCCTCTCCATCATCTCCCCCCACTGCATCTCCATCCTCGGCTGCTGATTGAAGAATTCCCTAACCACTTCATGGACACCAGAGCTTGTTGGTCTAGGGGATTTATCGGTACCATTGTGTTTGTGTCGGCTTTTTTCCTCTCGCGTGAAATGCCTCTGATGGGCTTTTCTTCTTCACTTCCATCTTCATCCTCGCCTTGTTCGGAGAATTCGTCGGAGGATCTATCGGCGGTTGTTATTTTCATACTTTTCTTTGCCTGCGAGGAATCCGAACCTGCCTCCGACTCGAGCAGGCGGCGCTTCATATTCTTGGCTCTTTCGGTGAATAACTCATGGAGTTCCTCAAAGAATGGGAATTGAGAATCATTCTCAGGATCAGCTGTCTCCTTCCCCTCCATAAATATGACATAGAAACATTTAAACAAACATACAGATTGTTAATATGATAAAAAAGAATGAAATAAATATTTTCCATAAAGCATCCATTTTGAAATCAATTTGGAAAGATCGCAAAGAACAATATAGGTGACAGTAAAAAGGGTACTAAAAAATCCATTCCATTCAATGAGATGCTATATATACATGGTACTAAAAAAGAATGGAGATTGAGAGTAATTAAAGAGGGAGAATAGAGAAGAAAGGACCTTGTAACGATTGAGAAGATTTTTCCACTTTTACTTGCACTGCTCAGGGGTTCGGGTGAAGCCTAGCTCTATCCTTCATCTTGGAGCTGACGACCTCCCAGAGGGTCTTGTTGTGTTTGGTGGCGAAGTCCCTTTCAAGCTCACCCCTTAAGAAGATTAGCTCCCGGGTCTCCTCCTGCCCCCACTGCCCACCCCTAACATCGCTGCTGCTTCTTCCAACTCCACCAATCTCCCTTCCCCTTTATTTAGGGTTTTCTCAACCCCCACCTTTTGCAAACTTTTGACTATTTTTGTCTTTCTTTTGATAGCAAAATAGAGGGTGCTGATGTTGCCACAGTTTCACCTAAGCAAGTTTTAACTTTGTGGATGGGCTCATCTTCTGAGTATTAATACGAGTCGTCCAAGCTTGGTTGTCTTCGCCATCATTGTGGAAGCATGGAGGTCCCCTTGGTCCTTTCTCCGTTGCCGGCCGTTTAGGACTTAGAAACTTCAACTGTATTTGGTACATAGAGGGCAAACTGCTGCATATGTGACGGGTTATTCACTGGGCCGTGTTAGCTAGCCAGCCCATTCATTTATAGGTCCAGTTCCACGAGTAGACTATACATATATAAAAGAAATTTTATCCTCTCTAGATCCCGTGTTAATATATATATATATATATATATATATATATATATATATATATGTTACCAAAATATACACGTGTATCTAGAACCGGTGAGTACAATTTTCATTAAAGCACCATAGCTCACACAAATAAGCAGAAATCAGGTATATATGATTCCTGAAGAAGACTGAATGAACCAAATGTATGTTCTTCCATTTCATTCCTGTTCTAACGATATTCAAATGTTTCTAAATCACAATAATCCATTTTGGTGGGACCAAAACCACATTTTCACTTTAAGCATGCAGAAATCAATATGTTCTTATTTGTGTTTTGCAATTCGATACATAAATCTACTTAACGAACACAAACTGGAAAATCAAGGGACAAGCAAGCCCCATTAAAACATAAACCACATTTCATCGTCTGGAATATCAGGGGTCAAGAATTTCTTCGGATCTTTACTATTTTCATCGTAGTTTAATCTTGGCTTCACTCTTTCAGGCACTGGTTCCAATGGAGTGATCATATCTCTATCAATGACTACATCTATTATTCCATATTCAGCTGCTTCCATTGGAGACATATATCGATCCCTATCGGTATCCTTCTCTACTTGTTCGAACGAATGTCCAGTAAAACTGGAAATTATTCTTGTAACATTGTTCTTGTTATGCATGATTTCCCGGGCTTGGATTTCTACATCTATAGCTTGTCCACTAGCACCTCCTAGGGGTTGATGAATCATTATCCGAGTGTTTCGCATTGCTAGGCGCTTGCCTTTGGTGCCACCACCAAGGATAATAGAAGCCGTTGATGCTGCAATGCCAATTGAAACCGTGGAAACATCAGCCCGAACAAGCTGCACTACATCGTATATAGCCATTGTAGCACTGGTACAAATAGAAAAAACAGAAAATAAGAAAAAGCAAAGGGAAAGTTTCTGTTCTTTTGTAGGTCACCAACAGGAAGGAGAATAATATGTTCTGAAAAATTGAAAGGGAAAGAAGAGAGTAAATCACCCTTATTTTGATTGCACAAAGACAAAAATAAAAGGTTGTCAAAGCAGTCTTATTAGTTGGGTGGAAAGGGAAGGGAATGGAAATTTATCAACTTCACTAGCAAATTATAGTCTTCGTATATTTTGCAAAGCGAACCATAATTATGTATGTACATAAAAAGAAATTACAAGGAATCACTCCCTGTGATGATCTTCGAATTCCTTCCCCGAATGAACAATAAGATTGGTCATTAGAAGAAACAAAGAATAAACACACACACCCAAATGAACAATAAGGTTATGAATCATCACACATGCTAATCTAATGATGCAACAGGATTCATTATGCTTGGATGAAGCAATACAAATTCCATCCCCAAGTTAAAGCTACAAACCAAGCATTGCGATTCGGCTTGCTGGACTTTTATATCATAGGCTCACCCATGATTTGATATCCATTATGCTCCTCCATCAAATAGGGGGCTACAAACAAAATAGATTTCCAAATCAATACTATCAGGCTCCGTCAATAAGAAATACCAGTAAGAAAACGACAACCCATATCCAAGGAGAATACAACTATAATACAACCTGCCTCGAATAAAATTGTCATATCGTTTCCAAAATCCTAACCAATGAGGCTTGATAAGGGCATATTAAGGTCATGAATTGTCAGCTCGAGAATTTACCATTGACCAATACCACATCATTCGAAGAAGAAAAGGTTCCATTTGTGAATCCCCTCATCTCCTTCATAATTAAAGAAAAGAAAATACCCATTAGTGAAGCCATCTTATATGTATTTCCCAGATATCTATAAAAAAGATCTTTCTTTCCCAGTCGGGAAAAAGGGTATAGAACAGAAGCTTTAGCAACAACGTGTTTATATCATTATCTCAAAAGAGAACAATTGAAAAACTGAATAACGAGATCTAAGCCTAGGGTTAAAGGGCAGAACATGAAAAGGGGGGCATACCTCAATGAACCACCAGGGGAATTAATGAAGAGTCTGATATCTTTAGTAGGGTCCTGAGCGTCCAAAAGCAGCAACTGACTTATAATAGCATCGGCCAAAAAATCATAAATTTGGTTACCAAGGAAAACAATTCGCTCCTTCAGAAGCAACCCCATAGCGTCGGTCTCAGCCCCTCTCATGGCGGTGGCCGGGGTCTGAAAATTTGAGGCTGTTAGCGGTGGCTTTCAGTTTGAGAGAAGAAGAAACGGGCGTCGGTCTGAGGCTAAAAAAGGGAGGGGATTTGTTAGGGAAAGTGAGAGAGGGTTTATGTTTGTGTTGAAGGGAAGAGAAATGAGGGTTTATAGCAGATGAGAGTGAGATTAAATCGATGGCGATTGTGACCGTCGAGAGACTCAGATAAGCAACTCCGACTCAAGCCGCCGCCCTTTCGCCCTTTGATTTTTGATACGATTTAACGCAAATGCCATACCAAATTATTTTCCCAATATAGGATAAGAACGATGAGGCTTAATTCAGAATCTGGGATCGTTTTCTTACTTTACACCCTAAACTTTTTTCTCTTATATGACTCTCTAAATTAGGGTTGAAAACGAGTCGAGTTTAAGTGTTGTTGAGTTCGACACGACTCGAAAACTTGCGACCTTAAAATTTGTAAGCTTGACTTAAACTCGAAATTATGAACTAAAGTTCGTAAAAAAAATATTCTTAAACTTAACTCGATTAAAGCCTCATTTTCAAACTCCAACCTTAACCTTAAATACATGAAAATTTTATACTGCATTTTTTTTAAAAGGTCAATACCAAAATATTAATATTATTAATAATGTATTTTTTTAATAAAATATTAATATATTATATTTTCGATCTGTTCATAAGCATTTCGAGTCGAGTATCAAGTAATTAATTTCGGCTCGTTAAGAACTTGAATCGAGTTGATTCGAGTCGAGTATTTATCAAACTTTGACCGAACTAATCTCGAATAATTTACGATTTATCTCGTCTCATTTACAGTCTTGCTCTAAATATACATATTCGTTCTTTATACCTAGAAGTATAACTCCGTTATACATTCTAGTCCCCCTAAACGTTACAAAGATTAACTTGTGCCGTTTGGCATCCTCCTTTTATGGGGATCGAGCCTGGTTTATGAGTTTTAAGAGATTAAAGGGTGAGATGATGATTTCGAATAATTCAAATAGTTGAAATATATTTAACGACATGAATAAGCCATAATTAAGGTCTCAATACGCTTCGGTGGCTGCACGTGAAAATAGGAATATTAATATTTCAAACTTAAATATCAATTTAATGATTTAAAAAAAATCTTCAAAAGCATGATAATAAATTTGGGTAATGGAAGTCAGAATTAAAATTTTAAAGTAAAAATTAAGATAAAATGATGGTTTTCGTGGTTAAAAACAGTGTTGTCTTTTTTAGAGATATTAAATTTAAGTAGATATGTTCGTGGATGAATGTACATTGTTAATATTTAAGAAATATTCTGAACAAATATTATCTCATAATTATTTTAAATTATTAAAAAATAAAATAATCAGAAATCAGAACGCTATAGCAATACCTTTCCTACCATGGCCAGAATTTGAAGTATGCTTTTATTCTTGTCATCTATCACGTTACAAAAGCATACGTATCTTATAAATACAATTATTCTAAATATTTTACTAATTTGGGCCACTTGAGTTGTTGTTGTTATTATGTATAATGAAATTTATTAAAAGAAAAAAGATGGTAAAATTGGCCCAATAAGTCAGGCGGGTAAAAAAATAACTCATTAAGTTATCTCTAAAATTAATTTGAGATCTATAGCAAATGTTAAAATGCAAGATAAACTCGTCACGCCTATATGATGAATTGTCTAAATAATATTTTTTTATTTAAATTCGTCACGTCAAAGTGATAAATTAAAAAATGTATTTATTTTATTAGAATATTATTACCTATGAGTAAAAAAATCAATAAAAAATGTATTTTATTAAAATTCGTCGTGTCTTACGTAATAAATTTCAAGTCTGTGTAATAAAATATTTAGTCTAAATAATTAGCCTCACTTAACGGTATTGGGTGAATTTTGCCAAAAGGATAGGGTGGGTTAGGCTTGGACTGTCGGCCCATTATTAAGATAAACCAAAATTGGCATATGGCGTAAGATATACATACACGTCCAATCTGGAAAAACAAACATTTTGCGATAGCTCTCTTTTCCCGTTTCCTTTCCGATTTAGGGTTTTCCTTCTATACGTCTCCTCCTTCCCGATTTCATAAACATCGGTATTCCTACTCCTAATCGATCTATGATTTGTGCTATCCTTCTGTTTTTTCTGTAAATATTCAATCAATTTCGTCAATTATGTTTGTATTGTCTTCTCCGTTTAGGACTCGCATCCAAAACCTCCGTGTCTTTGGTCCTGGTTTGAATCCCTTTGCTCCTTATTGCATCGCTCATCATTCCCCTGCTTCTCGCTAATTCCTTTCTCCTTCCCTCTCTTTTCCGTCTCTATCATGTAATTCCTCTTCCTACTTACTCCCTCTCGTTTTCGTCTTCAACTTTCGGGGAATTTGTTGTTGTTTTTTTCCGAGAAAAAAAAGATATTACCCTTTGTGAAATTTCATCCTTTTACGACAATATCATGTAATTCTTCGCCTAATCAAGCAAGCAATCAATCTGAGCTGGGGTTCTCTTTCTTTATTTTCTGGGTTAAGGAAATAAAAATTATAGTATATATCTGCAACGATATTGGTTGTTTTTTGTTGTTGTTGAGTCCATGAATATGGCCCAAGGGCAATCTTTGAGGAGAAGTTTGTCAAGAAGGCGCTCGTTTAGGTGTGGGGTTGATAGGGATGATAGAGGTTGGACGTTGCTTCACATCGGATCCCGACAAGGTGACCTCGACAAGGTATCTTTCTTTGTTTGAACCTTATTCTTCTTATTGATCCATAAGTTATTTAACGGTTATAATATTTAATGCCAACACCAGAAGGCATGCCTAGTGCCGGAATTCTACCTACCTTTAGTGGTAATACTTGAAATCACTTTTCAAATTTTACAGAATAAAATTCTTTTAGGACCATGACCTCTATTTTATACCAATTGTAGGTGGACATTTGTTCTTTGATTTTTTTCTTCTTCCATTCTTGTTTTTATCTGAGATTTCCCCTTTATCTGGATTTTATATATTGAGGAATGGCTTCCATGAGCTCTTCTGCGATTTATTTGTTCTGGATTCCCGTGGGGGCCTCTTCATCAGTTGTACTTACAACTAACTGATTTACTTGATCTTCACTAGCTGATTTTTTATAGATCCATTCCCCCAGGGAGCTGAGCATGTTAATCTTTCATCATCTGGCTCAAACAAAGGACTGTTGAACCCAATTTTTACAATCTGATTAAGATTCATATGAAGGATAGAAAGGGGTCGGAACAAAAAAAAAAAATCAATAGAAAGGGGTCGGAAAAAAAAAATAATCAAGTGGTTAAGATTCATTATCACTTTCTTATGCTTAGTTATTAGATTTACAGATTTTCCTTCCTCTATACCAAATGGAATCTATATGTTATCAACACATATATGGATGATTCTACGTGAAAGACTCAATTCCTTTTGAGGTCGTTGTCACTGGCATTTATTGTATGTTACTATTTGTGTTTCTTGCCAAACATTTTACTGCAATAGTTCTCCTAGCCCATGGAAATCGAATTCTGATTTAAGGTTCCTTGGAACAGGTCAAACAACTTCTCAATGAAGGGATGGATGTAAATGTGGCTGCATGGGGCCCCAAATCCCAAGGTATCACCCCACTCCATCTTGCCGCGCAGGGTGGCCACCTTGAAGTTATGGATGAGCTGCTTGAACGTGGTGCTAATATTGATGCAAGAACTAAGGGTGCCTGTGGTTGTAAGTTTCCTAATCTCATGTTTTCCTATTTTGTCTTTAGTGACTATATACCAAAAGTTAAAAATTATGTTGTTGATAACTTATGACCAGGTAAGCACATTAAATAAAAAACTACAAGTTTATTTGGCCCTGTTAACCTTCTAATTTCCACATTTAAACTTTGCTAATTTGATTATATTTCACAACTTAAAGCAGCTGCATTTCTTCTTCAAATACTCCTGAATTTAAGCTTCCATGCTTATCAAACAAACACTATGAGCCAATCAAACATTTGTAGTAATTAGTAACTACCCAAACCCACCCACCCACCCCTCCCCACCAACCCCAGTGCGCGCGCGCGCGCACACACACAAAAGGGCAATGGTACTGTTATGATGATTTTTTCTCTTCATATTTTTGTGCAGAGTTGACAGAAATCAATTTGACATATTTAAGACAGGCTAGTTTATGATGATTTTGTGTATTTTGGTCAGCATATACTAGGAGTGTGCATAGTATTAGTGGCTTGAGGGGGGCAACACCAGATTGGTGAATGAAATTTTGAGGCTTGATATTACAAAAAATTGAAACTTAAGGATTTGTTATAAAAGCATGCGCCTAGATGCAAGAAAGGCTACTGATTTCATTACCCTTTGTTTTTGTTGTGAATCTCAGGGACACCACTTCACGCAGCAGCTAAAGAAAGAAAGAAAGAAGCAGTGAAGTTCTTGGTAGGGAATGGGGCATTTTTGCCAGATGATATCAACGATTGCAGATTTAATCCACCACTCCATTACTGCCCTGGCCTTGAATGGGCCTATGAGGAGATGAAGCGTCTTCAAAGAGATAGCTCTTCGGCAGGGGAGACGTCTTATAGCTCTGAGAGTTGATGCTCCTGCTGTGTTTGGTGCTTTAAGAAGTATTGACCTACTAATAGCTGTTTTTGGGTTTGTGTTTGCTATCCGGTTTGGTTTTAAAGACTGTCGTTTGCATATGAATTTGTTGGCATGTTGCCAACCAATAAACTAGTGCTCCCATCGCATTACATGCATATGATTTTGTATGATACGTTGATGCTTTGAACGTGAAAGCTTTACACCTGTAATAACTTAGATATAGCGTTTTCTTTCTTTTCTCTACGCTCTACTGTACCTTAGGTTGGACCTAGCAAATTTGACCGGAACCCAAGTTTGACTTGAAATCTAAAAAAACCGGATCGAACCAAAACTGACATGAATTTTAGTCCAATCGAAAGTAACACGTAATGAAAGTAACATGAATTGAATCGATATCGATCTGAATTTTAGTTAAATCAAAAGCAACTTCAATAGAAAGTAATTGAATCGAAA